CAAATAGTAATGTGTTTTTAGTAAATGCTTACAATATATTGAATTTACAAACCTTTTTAATATCATATACTTTAGAGTCATTTACTGGCATTCATGGGAAGAGAGAGAGAGATTCTTTGAGTTGAATTCATCACTAGATTTGGTCTCAAAGAGTGTAAAAGTGTTGACAATTGTAAGCAATGAATGAATGCATGAATTATAGAGAATTGCATTGAATTGAATGCATTGGTTGTGACAATCGGTGCTCTATTAGTGACTGCAATACTCATTGCATTCGAATTTCGAATGGAGTGTTGATTGCGTTCAATGAGTGAGTCGTATGTGTCGTAAGCGCCGAACGCGTAGCCAATGGTGTGTGAGCTTAGGTTCGAACGAATGACGCATCGATTGGTTTGAGCGCGAAGTGAAGGCGTAGTAAAGGATGACTTCGATGGCCAACCGATCGCACGAAGAACTCATTGAACTCTTCCAACAACTAAAACACGTTTGTCTTCACTCTCGCCATCACTTCCACAGCCATTGTGTTAACCATTGATTCACTCTTTCAGATGATTAGAGACGACACGCGAGAGAAGGAGGCGTTGAGACAGCGCTTGCTTTCAGACCATAACAATGAGGACTGGAATCAAACACTTGTGGATCAGTTGAGGCGACAATTGACTGAATGTCACACTTGTATCGACACTCAACGCATAGCTCTTCAAGAGTTCCAACGAATGAAAGGTTTTTTCTTCTATTCTTCTTCTTTGGGATTCAAGTATTGAATGAATTAATGTTTGAATTGTTTTCGTAATTAAGAGACAAATAATGGTTTGAAAGAAGAGATCAATCGATCGAATGAAACGCTGAAGAGTTGGCGCCAATCGAGCCATCAATTGGTCCAAAGAGTTCGCAATGAAAGCGACGAACGGAACGATAAATTGAGCGCAGATTTGAACGCGAAGTGCAAAGAGATGGAGGACTTGAAGCTCACCATCGCTTCCAAAGACTTGGATTTGAATGAATTGAGGCGTGAATTGAGTGACGAGAAGAACAAAAGCGGCCAAAATGTGGAACAAATCAAAGAGTTTTACGAAAACAAAATCCAATGTCTTTACAGAGAATTTGACGACAATTTGCGAACCATTTCTAAGACAAACGATCAGAAGATCATTGATATCAAAGCCGATTGTCTTGTGGCCATCAATCGGACTCAAGAGGAATTGGGACAACAATTGGAGAAATACAAGAATGAGAACAAAGAACTGAACGAAAAGTATTCACATTTACGGCTCGAATCGGAGGCCAGAAAAATGACAAACCGTTTCGTAAACGCAAACAGAAATCAATACAAATTCAAATCAACGAATGCCAGCACTTCTGACACCAAACCTAAGCTATCGATCCGAGTGCTCGACTCCGACGACGACTCCAGTGGACCCACTGTTGAATTGGTTCCACAGAAACGCAAGAAATTAATGCAAAACAATGACTCGTATTTGGATTTCTTGAAACAATCGCCTTAACTGTCGGTTAATTAGATATCAATAATAATTCATTTCAATACTAATAGCCATAACTTTTTCGTGTAATTAATAATTATTCATAAAAAACAGTTAATTTTTGTTCAAATATTTCTCATTTAATTAATTGTTAATTTCATAATAAATTTGTAAACAATTTTGTATTATTAATAGTTTAGGAAATTATTTTGGTTTCAATAATTTAAGAGAAAAATTGTGTTTAAAATAAAAAATTTAAAAAAGACAATAAAACAAAGATTCACAAGACTTTTGATTGAAAGACAACAAAAAAATGCAAAACAAATTTAGAGAGTAGTGAAAGAATAGACGATTGGATTGAGTGCTCAACCATAACATGAGAGGCAATCATCGATTAGCACCGATAGCTATGAGCAGTGGTTTTGTGTGAAACTATCAATTGGGACACAAATGATTGCCGTCTCACGAGTCGAACGCTATTATTGAAATCAAGACAAACATTATCTGATCCGATACTCGACTAGTCTTTTATGTCTTTATATGTATTGCAAAGGAAGACATTATTTATAAAATATGTAAATATAACACTTCAGGTGACGAATTGGTTGGTCTAGTCCTCGAGGAATGTCATCTGTCCGGGACCTCCTTTCCGAAGGTAACGTCGATAGCGCTTATAACTCGAACTCTCGGCCAACTGAGCCTTTTGCTCGTCGTCTCTGTTCCGCTTCCAGACGTCGAACTTCTCTTTGATCCAAAGCTCGTCCTCCATATACTCGTCGATCTCCTCTTCAGTGAGCGCTTCCCATTGGAGTTGCGATAAACTCATCGATTTTCTAATGATATACTTCTTCTCTTCGTCGCCGAACTCTTCTTTGTTGACATTGTATTTCCAAATCCACCGGAAATACCAAATCAAATACATTACTATAGTGTGCGGCAGAAATGCCAACTGAACCCACAGTACGTGTCTGTAGGAGGGCTTAGAATAGCCGCCCTTTATATCCATTTTCTCTTCGATTATTTTCCTCAAAACGTTTTCCTCTTCTATTCTGATGTCATCTTTACTTCTGAACCGATTCTTCTTCCTATTGGCCGCAGTGTTGCCTAAAAGTCCGTCCGTTTTTGCGATGTCTTGTGCTTTAAGTTTATACTTAGGAACAGTTAGGAAGTAATCGATGGCCTCTTTATATCGCGAGTGCATTGCATAGTATTGGAAGCCAGAGATGATACTAATTGTGACCACAATAACGATGCGAACGTCCACTTTGGGCGCATACATACGCCGGTAGTATCGATAGTAATGGGCATACATTTCGTCGGGATTGTCGACCATATAGTCGTAATCCCTTCGACTCTCTTCTTCTTTGAGCACTTCGTAAGCGTTGGCCACTTGTCTGAAGCGATCGGTGGCCACGGCTTTGGCCTCTTCGCCGCGATGGAGGTCTGGATGCCATTTTCGGGCCAACTTTCGGTACTCACGCGAGATCTCATCGCGCGTTGACTCTCGCGTTACGCCCAACACTGCGACCAAAACATAGCAAACAATTAGTTTATTAATTCAGTCAATGAATGGATTGATTGATTGATTCATACCGTCGTAACAGTTCTCTCGACCACAATATAAGCCTTCAATAAAAGCGGCATTTCTTGAGATTTGTGTCCAAAACGTCAGCAAAATTAACAACAATTTTGTCGTTTGTATTGAATTTATATTAATTGTTAACATTTCACTTAAAAAAGCTATAATTTTAATTAAATACTAATTTTTTTTATATATAAATAAATTATTAAATTTAATACAAAAATATTAACTAAAAACTAAAACATATAAAAAAGTAATGATTAAAAAATACTGTATTTTCACGAATGCATCGAAAGTAATAATAATTGAATCAATTGTTAACCAAATAGTGTTTAACAGCGAAAGCAAACACCGATTGAAACGTGTCTTCAAATTAAACACATTTAACACACATTTGGTGTTCAAGTAATTGAAAATATATGAGATATACAGTCACTAACACTAGTGTTGTACTGACACTCATAACCACTTTTTCGTGCACTTCACGAAGTGTTGAGCGCTATATTTAAACTACATTTCAGTTATCGCTGCTATGATTGACAGTCAATCTCATCCCTGTATTCAATTTATAACACTTTACACGACATAACAATTGATAATAAAATATTTAATAAATTGTTTATTCAAATTAAGTTCAGTTTTGATTACTGTATTTAAATAACTGTTTAAATTGTTGTTTCAACACTACTTTAATGCCGACTCTTACGTAACGCATACACTTGTTATGTCACTAATTGTTACCTGTATTACAATATTTGAACATAAATTGTTAAAAGCATTTAATTTAATCATATATTAAATGATAAGATGTGCAAATGTGCATGCTTCTTTTTTATAATTCAAACCATATCATTAACGCAGGTATAGTTGACAAATAGGTTTGGGTTTAAATGTAAAGAATGTGAATTTAATAAAATTGAATATTGACTTAAAGAGGTATACATTTGTATGTTTGAAGTATTGATTGCAATTTTAAAATACAATCTACTCTACACTGCACTGCATTGTACAGTACAGTAGTGTAACAGTTAACAGGTCTCCCGTTGATTGAATTTTTAGTTTTTTTAGTGTGAAATGAAAATACAACAGACATGTAATGACTACATTGTAGTCGAAATAATTTTTTTAAATTTCTCATTAAAATAGATTTAAAAATGGGTCAAAGTATTCATGAAAAAAGTTAACGTCAAGATTTTGAGCGTAACTTTAAAATTAAACTAATATTATTTTATGACAAACATATCTATATTTTTCTCAATTTACTGTAAAATTCTCAAAATAATGTATATTTAAATTTTAATTATTCTATTATGGATTAGAATATTCAATATTTTTAAGTTTTAACATTTAGGAAATATTTTATTTTCAACAAAATTTCTAATAAAGTTTTACTATAGTATGAATTTGAAGTTTTGCTTTTTATTACCATTTAATAGTAGATTATTCCTAAATTACATATTCTGTTTTAATCTACATGTATATTATTTATATTTTATGCATTTGTATTGATTACTGTTTATTCATTTGCTTTCATTATTTCGATTGTATTATAACTCCAATACTATACTTCAATACTTTAAACTATATTATTAATAAAATGTTTAAATATTGCCTTATATTAGGTAATGATAGTTAGAAAGTGTGGGCGAATTCAGTCATAAATAAAGGTAATGTTCACGAGTTGTGTCTTATTTTTAGCTAAAACTTTAAATATAAGAAAATTAAGAAATTATATCAATTTAAAGAATAAATTTTTATTTAAACTATTTTCTACATAAAAAGCAATGTTTTGAATAATAATTCTAATGTTATTTCTTACAAAACAAATGCAAAAATTTAATTGTTTTTGAGATTTAAATACTTTTAACATAAGTATAATACTGTAATAATGGGAATAATATTAATAATAAGACCGCCAAATATGTATCACTTAATTATGGACAACACTTTGATATAATAAGTGATTGTTTTCTTGTGCTTAAAATATAAGTTATTTGTATTGCAATTCATAACAATTTTCTAGTCATTGAATAACATTTAAATTTATAACAAACAATATGGTTAAAGTTCAGCTTTTTATTATTTAATCAATTAAACAAAGCATATAATCATGAGATAGTCGTATGAATGAGAGAATTGATTCAGAGTTTCCAACACTGTCTCATCATTAGATCAAAATAGATGTCTTCATCGATAGAAGCGCTCACTCCTGAGTAGTAGTCCGTGAATTCATCTTTCGTTAACTGCAAACACATTATAATTGATATTTCAATAAAATGTCATTCATTATAGTGTTGCCAGCAATGGAAACAATGTGTTGCCTACCATTCCGTCGACAGAACCTCCCTCTTCGAACTTCTTGAGAAAGCCTTCGAACAGTTCCTTCTCTGTCTTCTGTCCGTTTTGGAACTCCGGATGACTTCTAGTATTGTAGACACCCTTCAAGTCGTCGAGAGTGACCACTCCGTCGCCAGTTTTGTCCATTTTCTTGAACGCCAAGTCAATCAAATTTAGACGCGTTTTATTCATCGGTGGCTATAATTAAGCGTTTATTCAATTAATTATTTGCGAATTAATGCCAAACTCTTAAATGATGGACACATACTCTGACAGCTTTGAGGAACTCGTCGTATTTGACGGCTCCGTTGCCGTCCCTATCAAACTGTTTGAACATATCGCTGATCTCATCGTCGGTCACATCTAAACTCATATCTCTTAACCCATTAGTAAACTCGTCTAAAGTTAAGTCTCCGCTCTGGTTGTCATCCATTATACGGAATGTCCTATAAATTACAGTTTAATTATTTCACATATAATTAATTATTACTTTATTCATATTTAGAATTATGTGTTTAAAGTGTATATAATTAATTAATTCACAAAATTAAATTAAATTAATATAAACAAAATTATTCCTATTCATGCATTTCACGAAAAATACAAATATTTGAACAAATGATAGATGAGTGGCAAACGGGTGTAACATTGGATCCGGTTATACAATACAGAAAAGGAAAGTAAGTTACCATTTCTTTAAGACTTGCTTTAATTCAATGACTTTTTAAACAAATTATTAAAAGAATTTTTGAATAATACTTTTGGGAGTATAATAAGAGTTTAGTAATACAATATTTACTTTTCTAGACTAAAGAGGCGAACAATTCAATACACTAAATACAAATCTTGATTATTATTATTATAATCTATTTAATACTTTATAAGTATATATATCTCACTTACAATATATTTCAGTAATTAATGCCAGTCTTAAAGATATTATAAGTTATGCATTTATATAACTGATAAACCCTCTAATCATAGCAATTATGAATAAATGTTTGCGTGTTTTTAGCAATTAATTCATTATATAAAGAGCACACAATTCACTGACAGATTGTTATAACTTTTTTGTATTTTAATCCTTGTCTATATACTAATGGACTTATATTGCATTCGTGTTCTCAATCCAATTAAATCCGACAAAACGTGTTTAAGTTTAGCTAACTTTTGGACTTCCTTTTCAATTGAATGAGAATTTAATTTGAAATATATGTTTGTGTTATGGATTGTGTCCAATCGCTCATTCAATGAGTGTTAATCTTAATACAAATTTCATTGATTTATTTTTTTGTGAAATTCTCGAAATTGATTAAAATCTCTAATTTTAAGAAAAAATTTATAAAGAAATGGCAAAAAATACATTTGAAAGCAAACGTTGAGTTTTATCCAAAATATCTAAGATATGATGAAAGCAATGAATTGTGTGAATGATTGGAAGAAACGAATCTATGTTGAGGTCACACAATACTGAAGGCATTGAAATGCTGTTAAAATTCAATAAACAATTGTTTTGCCATTATTTTGAAAAATGGTTTTCATTTATAAGTTATACTTATATTAAATACAAGTATATATTATAAGAAAGCTGTATATTTATCGTTTATTTTTCATTACCAAAACAGAGGCACTAAATAATGGAAATTATAATTTCATACGAAAATTTTAAAAATATAGTGAAATTTATTGTTAAAACTATTTTAATGATAGGTTTTTACAAAACAATAAGATGAAAAATATAGTTATAGAGACAAACATTAATACGTGATTTCAATTTATTAGATAAACAGTAATTTCAATGTTTTGCTTAAATCATAAATCAATTATCTAATCAAAATTATTCTGAAAATGCCTAATAAACCTTGGTTATTTCTAGAAACATTATACAATTATATTATTAACTCTAATGGAATAAATTGATAAACAATTTGATAACTGAAATACAAAACTATTTATATATTATTACGTATTTATACAGCAATTATATAAGAATAAATACTTTATGCAAAAACTTGTATATTTGAGAAGTGAATAAATATTGTATAATTGATTTACTTGTTTATTATTACTTTTTATTAATAACTTAATTAATTTCCGATTAAAGATTAGATAACGCTATGAAAGGACTGAATATTTGTATTACTATCTGAAATGGTATTACAAAAAAATAAATATAAAAACATTAGTGCATAAGAAATAAATAAATATAACTAAACCACATAAATGAATATAAAATAATGAATGAATTATAATGTGTTATAAAGAATATGTGGGAAATATAAGTCCAAATAGGGATTGACTTACTTTCCGAGACCCAGTATTCCTGAGGCACCCCTTTGTAGGCAACGAAGTCTAAGTCTTTCGATGGGATCTTTGGCCAGAGCTGCCTGTCGTCCGGCCTTTTCTTGCATTCGTTGTTCATTACGTGATTGTGCGGACACGGGTCGAGGCATTTTGCAATCGGATTTTCAAATTTGCCTATTATTTCACAAACAATAACAAAACATAAAATAAAATTTAAGATTAAAAATGGCTTTAAAACACAAACACACAAACAGAGTGTCCTTTACTTAATATTAAGAAATTATGTGTAATTAATATTAATGTTGGCAAACATTGATATCGCAGTGATTTGTTTTACAATATAATTCACTAGAAAACTAATGTTTGAATGGTTTGACTGTTAAGTCACTCTCTATTTGTAAAATTGAAGAACAGATTGAAAGGCATTGAAGGAAAACCTCATATCTAATGAAAATAAAAGTCAAACCAAATACCGGTTTGACGTATAATAGCTGTAATAGAGGGAGAATTCATGGCAAACATGAGTGAACCTTATTATGGAGAGAATATGCTGTAATACATTGTATACCTTATTCTCTATGCAATCAAAATTAACACTTGATTATAATATTACAACACAAGAAAATCGGAGCCAATTATACATGAAGTATATTTTGGTTTCGTTCATAACTTTCAATTCAATTAAATAAATAATGAATTTATATTTTTATTTTTAATAATCACTTATTCTCTACACATGAATGCATTTAACGGATGTATTGTATTATTAGAGACAAAAGAGTCGTTTAATTCAATTATAATTATTAGTTAAAACATAATTATTGTAAATATATTGAGTTTTGTTAAAATATTTAATTTAATTTAATTAGTTTTATTTGTTTTTCATTTTCTAATGGATTTTTAGATCTGTTTGGATATGATATGAATAGCAAGTAATACATGTAATTGTATTGCTTTGAAATTAGTAAAAATCTCTCATTTAGACAATGAATATAATAAAAGTTT